TGGGGATCCAACCCCCACATGTGTGTGCCACTTATGTGGGGCCCACATTATCCCCTAGGGAGGCACGCTATTTTTTTTAAAGCAAAAAGGGGCACACCACTATTTTAACAAAAAAAGTGGCACACCACTTTTCTAACGAAAAGGGGGGGACGCCACTATTTTAGCAAACAATGTGGCATGCCACTTTTCTAGGGAAAAGGGGTACGTCCCATATTTTGCTTAATTTTGGTTCAAAGTTTTAAATTAGTTAAAAGATAGCAAATCCTTTTCAAATAAGATTTAGTTTCCTATTCTAGTAGGAGTTTTAAAATATGGATTATATTTGATTATAAGAGATCTAGATTATGATAAGTTTGGCCACATTTCAAATTTAAAAAGAAGTTAGACTTGGGTCAAAATCTACGGGGATAGGGTTCTTATCTTTCCACCCAAAATCATGATGGCTAATTTGTGGGATGGATGGCTCTAATTAAAATCTCTCTCACCCCACAGATTTTCTAATTATCCTAAAAGTCTAGCTGGAAATTAGATAAGGCATACTTAGATTGGAATCTTGTTCAAAATAGGAAATCGATCTTGTTTCTATTTAAACAAGATTTGAACCACCTCTCTCTACACAACAAGATTATCTCTCTCACGCCACCCTCTCTTCTATTTTAGTTTCACTCCACCCTCTCTCTCCTATTCTCCAAACCACCCTCTCTCCTCTTGGAGAGAATTATACCTCTCTCTTTCTCTCTCCTTATTTGAGCACCTTCTCCTTATTTGAGCACCTTCTATTAAAGGAAAGAAAATGAGGATCTTTAAAATCTAAAAGAAAGGTTTGTATTTTAGAGAAAGAAGGGAAACAACCAACTTAGAGAGAGATCAACTCGACAAGTTCAGCCTTATTTTCATCCCATAGGGTTTTTATAAACTCGCTTCAATTCTAATGATTTTAAAGAAAGGTTTGTATTTTGGAGAAAAGAAGGGAAACAACCAACTTAGAGAGAGATCAACTCCACAAGTTCAGCCTTATTTTCATCCCATAGTGTTTTTATAAACTCACTTCAATTCCAATCGACTAGGTGTATTGTGTCGATTCTTTTCAGTAATATATCTAGAAATGCCCAGTGATTCCTTCTTAGCATTAGCACCATTTCGAGTACAACTGGAACATTCCAAAATAACTCCAACTCTAAAATCTTTACCTTTGGCTATGAACCTCCTTTGTATTTTGGATTCACTCAACTCTTCTATTTTCAATTCGAAGAAAAAGAAAGAAATAGGAGTTAGTTGATTTTTTAGCTCTCTAAAACCCTAAAAAGAAGTATTACCTACAAAGCTTCTCTTTCTTAGAATTTTCAACAACACCTAAAGAAGTAAAAGTGTGCCATCGGTTAGGAAATCGGGTGTGGGGTGTACCGAGATCTATAAGGGTAACTCCAGGCATCTACCAGTAAGTCTTTCCAGTAGCTTTAATTAATTTTCAGTATTATTTTTTATTTTCTATGAATTTTCAAGAACTTGTATTGTACTAAAAATTATAGTGAAAGTTTGTTTTAAGCTCTTGGATAGTTTCTATTTCTTTTGGTAGTAAAAATAAAAATTCTAAGTTGTGTCTAGGGAATTATTTTGATTTATAGCAATATTTAGAGATATTTGTAAGTAAAATTCAGGTATATTGAATAAAAAAAATTAATTTAATACCTTGAGTTCTGTATAGCCACTCTTTTCATGGCTGACGCATGACATCAAAATCAAATGGGGTGTCCTTTGGTATTTGCGTGCTTGTTCAAATATGTTTTATAATGTTTTAAATGAGAAAATAACTCAAGTGATTATTGAGTCACTTGTAAATTTGGCCCTCAATCACACGGGTCTAGGGTTATGGCATGCCATGAATTCTGGCTTAAACCCTAATCCATGGTTGAAAATGATATTTAAAAGCCATTTTTTGTGTGGCATGTTTTTATTGGCTTGAGCCCATGTAAAACTTTTGAATTGGCTTCATCCCATTGGTTGGGAAGAATGTATGTTATTATTTACCATAGGGGCACACCCTCTCCATTAGCTCTTCAATTGTTTCCAAAAGGTTGACAATGGGCATTTTGGGTACGCTTATATGGCATATGAGAAATTTATTTTTAACTTAGGACAAGTTGATAAAATAGCTTAATCTAGGATTTTTAACGAGTGATAAGGGTGTAAAATCTCATCCTTTGATCTTGATGGCTAGATAAAGATGAGTAGCTAGGATCAAATCCTTCTTATGTGCCATGGATGATGACCATCAAGGGCCATAATCAACTCACTCAAAATGCCACGCTTGAATTTGCCAATAAATAGCCCCTTAACCTCATTCAATACACAATTTACAGCACACTTGGTGAGAGTAAGATGGAGACTAAGAGATCCTCCACACCCCATTTTTCCTTCTTTCTTCCCAGTTGTGTGCAAAAATATTATGGCCATTAGAGCTCTCTTCCATGATGTCTAGGCTACTTGGTGCTTTACACTTAAGGTAACTTCCATACCCCTATCCTTTCATTTCTAGAGTATTTTGTTCCTCTCTTTGCTGTAAATCTCATATTACAGTAGCCTCTTCATCCATGAATGCTTGAGTCTTCATGATTTCTAAGCCCTTTGTAGAACTATACATATATACCATCACAAGTGTAGTCTAGTTTACTACTCTGCTCCAAGACACCATTATCTCCATTATTTTGTTACCCGATTTCTTTTATATTTTTTTGTAGATATTTTGGGCATATCAGCAAGCTTTTGATGCTCATTTGAGTACTATATCATTAGCTCTTAATCCTAAAGTATTTCTCATGTGAAACTAATCTTGTTTTCTCAAGTTTATGGCCATATACTCCCACATAGTATGAGTTGTTTATAGCTGATTTATGCTCACTATTTTCATCACCAAAAATTCATCAAGTGCTTTTCTAGTGTGCATAAGCGTCCCACTCCATAAGTGAGATCAACCATTGGGTTTAATAGCCATCTGTGCTATCATCCATGGGACAAAATTAAGTCCCTAAAAGGGACGATTAAGAGATCTGGGCACAAAGGGTTCAACCATTGGTATCTCCTCATTACTTTGTACTTATTTGTTGTAACTTTGAGTTTATTAATGTGTCATCAAGATTTGATTATGTAAATTTTGGAGTTGGTTTATGTTAATGAAAAAGTGTACCTACAGTCCATATATAAGTGTATATGCTAAATGGTGTTGTTTGCTTCTATATGATCAATGTGTTTGTGTTTATAACTTCGGGACAACATAAGTTGTAATTCTTTCATTTTCAGTGATTCAAATTTGTAGCTATAACAATGAGTAGGAGTTGTGGAAACTTACTTGTGAAAGTGTTGCTTATAAAAATTTTAACTTGAGTGTCAAATCCAAGTGTTCTTTAAAAAGCATCCTAGATTCTGAAGAATGTCTTAATCGTCCATCATTTCCTTTTGCCCATTCCAAAAACCAAACTGGAGCTTCTCTCTTGCAAGAGAGAGAGGTGCAAGAGAGAGGAAGAGAAAGAAATTGCAGCTTTTCTCTCTCACTAAAGAGAGAGGAAGATGAAGCATCACTATGAAAATTTTCCTATTTCTATAATTTACAAAGAGGCATATTTCTTAAACCCACTAAATAAGAAAAAACAACAGCGGTTACATATCATATTCTTGGAGGTGGAATATGAATCATAGTTACTGGTGGTAGGCGATTCGTTCTAGAAACTTGATCCTAAGATCCCAGAAACGGATCTTCTATGGATCGCATTGCATTTTCTAGAAGTTTGGATCTTGATCCCTGGAGCCGGGATTAAGTTCCTTGAATTTAATATTGTATAGACATTGAATTCCAGCCCACTTAATCAGTTTTTTCAGCTGATGAATCACATGTAGATAGCCAGCTGTATTAACATGCAATACCATGAGTGCACATGCTAGAGAGAGACAAAACGTGGAAGATATCAAAGAACTCTTTTAAGAAGCTCGTAGTGATATGATGCTATTCCTATCTAATTAGGGAGCTTGATCCTATCCAATTGGGGAGTTCCATCCCTAGAACACAGAGATCGAGTTACTTAGATTTAATATTGTAGGACATCAAGCACTATCATAAGGGGCTTCCGGGTAGCCTCGATCCATTGATCTCGCCCCTGATCCCAGAAACCGTTCCCAGTCCCATTCCCAACAACTATGATCTGAATTCAGGTTTCTATAAAACTGAATCAACAGTACCTGAATCAAGAACACATTCAGATTTCTAAGTGATCCTAATGGCTAGAAGATTGGAGACCTTAATAGGCTAGAAGATCGGAGACCTTTTCAGGCAAGATTAAGAGGATTGCGATGTTAGTATGACCAAGCAGTTGCAAGAAAATACGAGACCATGCCACCGTTCATCATGCCTTCAAGTTTACAGTTAGCTTAGCTCAAAATCTGTGTCGCGCATATTTTGACCAAACGTGTAACTTAGGTTTAACATTGAACCAAAGAATTACAAGAGGTATATTTTGGCATGCAGATTATGCAGAAGTCAGCAATTGCATGGAACTTGGAAAGAAAATAATTTTATAAACAAGCATTCAGTTATTCAGACATCATGCTCAAATTCAAGAACTGAGAATAGAAATTTACCTCCACACTTCAATATTATGCAGAAAGAAATAGATGTGTTAATCTATTTTTCCACGTTCATATAATCTCACAAGTTAGAACTTGAGGTTCGTGCATTATAAGTGGACAAATGACATGCAACATTTATGTCATCTGATTTTTACAGAACTATGCTCTGTACTGGAGAAGATACATAAACACCAACAAAAGTTACTATAGCTACACAAATAGTTCTCCCATCTTCTAAATCACCGAATCTACTTCTTACTGCTTCAATGGTCAAGCAGAGATAAATCCAGATATATGTTTTTCCAAGTATAGTTCTTTATAAAGAATGAGGAAATGCATCACAACATCACGGTTTGAATGAGCATAAAGGGAAGACGACTCACTCCAGTTCTTTTATTAGACATGTGTTGAAGCTGTCCGGACACTGATGAGAAAGTCATCTTCACAGCCCCTTGACCAATCTCAATTGTCCCATTTTTCAAAGGGTCCATTCCTGGTCTATACACGGTGGATCTATTTCCTGTACCATTAAATTATAAACATACAGAAGTAAAAGAGAGAATCAGCAGAGTCTGTATTTTTTAATTCTCAGTTCATCATGCTTCTATTTTCTGTGATAATAATTACATCAGAGAAACTTATAATATGAAATTCATAATACAAGAACACAAGAAACAGAAAGATTAACAAAATTCACCAGAACTGGAAATAAAGTAGGTGCTCCATCCCAATGATGGCACCGAGGCTTGAAACAAAAGCCAATATTTTGGGACTTTGTTAGAAGGTACTCCCAGATATGCCTTTGTGTATAAGCTCCTTAATCTGCTCGTAGTATTATCAACTTCTACATATTGTGCCTCAATCATCTTCCCACTAGAATCCCGTACAACAAGACGATCATTGTTTACCTGATATGAGAAAACAATATCCACATACGACAGTAGAGAACGGTAAACTTGATCATCTTTTGAAACGTGAATATCCTTCACTAAAGAAAACCATCTAAATACAATAAATATGCACTAAGATACATCCCATATAACGAATTCTATCATACGTCATGATGACAAATAAATGAACTTTTTTTCATCAAACTGATGAACTCCTGAGGGACAAATACTTTGAAAGGGGTTTCGTATCAAAGTTTTGCACTTCAGCACAAACAATATAACAAAATAAACCATGTAGATGCTCCAATAGCATGTTCTAACATCATAGAGATGAACAAATTGGTTTGACACTCCAAGAATATTTATCCAATCACCGAAGGAGTAGAATGGAGATATATCCAAATATTCTACCAATCATCAATTAAAAACATACTTATTACAAAACAAGAGTATGAGATCCCATGAGTTGTAACTAATGAAACATTGTGTTGTATTTGGCAGTGTTTTGTTCATTGGCGCCTAAATGTGATGCTATGATTCTCTACTTTTTGTACTCCTATGATTTTCTCCATTGAGTCATGGGTAATTTTACCTTCATTTACATACAAAAAGCATGTATTTCTATAAGATTTCATACATCTTTCAAATTCAAATATTCAAATAATGGGTTCATAGAATCCTAGCAATGAATATTTAAAAGGTGTTGTAATGAGAAAATTTTGAGTTCTTCTCCTTGTTGCAGCTTTGTGGCCTGTCAAGGCCATGAGAGTATGTAAAATGATATTTATAGTGGATTATGCACTTCAATGGGAGTGTGCGTGTGTGTGTGGACTAACCAAGGGTTAGGCGGTTTATGACCTTGGTTATGTCTTAAAACCCTTGCCCCTGGGTATGTGGCACTACTAAGAAGAGTTTACAATGGGTTATCCGTTGTTAAGGTTGGAGAGATACCCAGGGATGATGTTTGCAGGCCATGAGAACTGTGTAGTCTCCTGTATGCGGTTGTTGGCCTGTGAGAGCGAGGGTCAGAGCCTTAAAAAACTTTTGTACGACACATACATATGACAACCGCATTATCGAGAAGCATCCCTATAGAGGGACACGTATTCATATGCATAGAGAGCACCCCTTGCACTGTAGTGACAGATACTAGATTTGCTCTTAATGTGAAAATTGAAATCCACATTCTAGGATCACAGTTCCTCTGTTTATTGGCCAACTTTGACAAGGCAATCATGAGCCCCTGCATAAGACTGTGGGTCATAGGTCTTTGTTGAGTTGGTTTGAGAAGACAGTTGTGGATCACGATTACTGGGTCGAGAAGACATTTATTTTGACCCATTAGTGTTAGTCCACTTCTAAATATTCTATTTTTGGTATTAGAAATGTTTCTGTGAATTTTGGAATTTTTTTTAGAATATTTAAAATTGATTTTTGTTGTAAAATCTATTAAAATGGTATTTTTATAATTAAGCAAATAAAGAAGGGCACATGTGAGGGCCTTGGATTTAGTGCCCACGTGTGTACCACTCCCTACAGGTGGGACATGTGGCTTATGGGGCCCACTTGTGCACCATAGGGGTGGCACACCCCACTCCTTGTTTTAATTTAATTAGAAGTTAGTTACATAATATTTAAAAGAAGAGTATTTCAAATAAAAAATAAAAAAAAATAAACAGGAAAAAGAGAGATTATGTATATTGTTGTTGTGGGAGTTATTTTTTACTAAATTTTATTGTTGCTGACTTCCTACAATTTTTTATAAAGATAATATGAAGTTCTAGATTGGATATAATTCTAATTGGACTCTATGCTGGAAATGAGTCAAAGAAAAAAGGAATAAAATCCTTAATTTTTTTCATCCAAAATCATGATGGCTGATTTGTGGATATCATCTCACCCATAGATTTCCTAAATTCCTATTGGTCAAGCTATGTCATTGGATAGGCATACCTGGAGAAGGAATTCTACTCCTAATAAGAGAAGAAATTTTCTATTTAAAATACAATTGAACCTCTTTCTCTATACACATAGCTCTCTCTCCTCCACGCCCCAGAGTTCTCTTTCTCTCTCTCTCTCTCATTATTAAAAATCCGTATTCTCTCTCCTTTCTCTTCCAAAAATGTCATGCCACCTATAATTTGATAAAATAAGGGTGGCATGTTGAAACCCTAATTAAGGTATTGCTATTTGGAGAAGAAAAAGTGGGCATGCCCAACCTAAGAGGATTCTATTCCTTCCTAAGATGCCCTAATTTGATCTTAAAAGGTTTCTACAAACCCTAGTTAGGTTTGTATGCTCTCTAAAACCCTAGAATAAGAAGAATTGCCTATAAAACCGTCCCACCGCTGAAAATCCACCAAGATCAAAAGGACAAAAGTGCACCTTCGGTTAGGGAATCGGGTGTAGGGTATATCAAGTCCTATGGGGGTAACCCTAAGCATGATCAAGTAAGTCTTTCTGGCTATTTTTATTTATTTTCAGACATATCTACATACATTTTATGATTTTTCAGGAACATATATTGTAAAATTCATGGTGGAAGGCTGGATATTGCTCTCGAGTTACCTTTGTCAGCTTTGGCAGTAAAAAAAAAAGTCCTAGGTTGTATTGAGGGTTTCATTTTTTGGAAATTTATGTACAGACCGGGTTTTTATACCGTTATAACGAAAGGTCCCGAAAATAGGCCGCTATTACCTGGAAAGACGGATCTCCGAATTTTTATAATTTTTACCAAATTTGCCCCCAATCCAATTTTTCAAACATCAGACCGCTTGGTAACCTCGAGACTTTTCATTTTTTACCATCAGACTAATTATAAATTAACTAAATGGTCCAATGTTAGAACCATCTGATTGCATATGCCTTTATTGCATATGCCTTTATTTTCAAACATGTATCATAAACGGTGCGGTAGAGGTTGAAACACCCCAGATCTCTACCATAATAGTGAAGGCACAACATATGTCCTTCATATGCTTTATTGGACTTCAACTTCCGTATGTGGGAAGCTTTAGGTGAGATTTCAAACATATATTGATGAGAGAGAGAGATAGAGCAGCAAAAAGTAGTTGTTCAAAGGAGAATTTGCGACCATTCAAGTGTATGCACGCATACATATGCACAATTGCCCTTTTCCAAGTCCATATAATACTTTTAAATTTAGAACTAAGCATTAAAACCATCGGACCGCATTCTGTTTGACATTTTTTATGAAAATCAAGAGGGTTCGATCAGACCGCATTCTGTTGAATTTTTTACGAAAATCAAGTAGTCCAATGTTTAAAAAATCGAACCAGGGGCAAACTTGATAAAAAATAAAAAAAATATGATAATCCGTCTTTTCAAGTAATAACGACCTATTTTCGAGCCATTCTGTTATAACAGTATAAAAATCCAACCATACGTGATGTAAGTTGAATTCAAATATATTAATAAAAATATATATATATAATTTTTTAAATTTATTACCTTGACTTCCACAAAACTACACCCATCACTCCTAACCTGACTTCTCTTTCTATCATTAGAGAATCTCATTAAATGAATATCAATGATTATTTAAATGGTGTTGTAATCAGCAAAATCTATGAGTTCGACTCCTGGTCTGACCTCTCTCTCTCTCTCTCTCATGCCCCTCGTATCTCCTATCCCCTACCCCATCTCTCAAGTGCTCAATCTCATCCCTCTCACCAACTAACTTCTCCGAACTCTGAACTCCATGTCGCCTAACATCGTCACTGTTTCTTTTTGTCTCTTAATGTCATCACGCAATCACCAGCTCTCATGCTCATTTCAACCGTATCATAAGGACCAAGAGGATGAAGAACGGAACGAGTTTGAGGAGCACGCACCTCCTAATACAATAACCTCTTTTGATAAAGAGGTCGAGTACGTCTTACCCAACCTCATCCTTGTTCACTAGAATAAAAGATGAGAGAATACTCGTGACCTAATAAAGGTGTTAGCTAAACAAGGAAATATACATAGCCACTGAAACTATGGACAGAAGATATTATTAATTACTAAACATTCATTCAATATGATACATCTCAAATACTATGAAACAACAAATTGAAGAACTTTTTCAGAATGCTTCTTCATTATTATGCATGTCCATTTATGTCTTTAAGCTATTCATCACTGAATTAATACTTGCAAAGCACACAACTAGAAAACCTTCCAAGAAATGCAATAGTCATTTCGTATCTTCCACTAAGGATAACATTTAAATATTCTCCAAACAATTGTATTCCACCACAAAAGAGCCCTTCAAAAATCTAATATTTATTAATAGAACGCAGCATAGATAAATAGGAAACAATATAGTTTCTTGATGACTAAAGATCATTAAAACACAAGCGAATTGTTAGCACAACATAAAAACACGCACAAAAAAGACATTCATTTGGCCGAAAAATATTCTTTTTTAAATAATTCAGGAGGAATAATGACAAACCGGAATTCGGACGATCTCGTTGCGACTCCAACCAAGGGGATTGTATGCCACTAGAACCTAAGAATGCAAAATTAAATAAAAAATTACTAATACTGGATAGAGTAGTGCAATTCAAAATTTTGACATATAACAAACATTAATGCATGTCGAAAAGGGTAAGGCTCACCAAGCTCTTTCTTTCAGGAATTAAATCCTCTGTTGGAGGACAATAGCTTATGTTAAGCAAGTGACACTGTTGTTGACCAAAATCCAAGGAAATATTAGATGGAATACAATTTAGAAGAAAAATGAGGCAGAGGAAAATTAAGCATAAGATACTTGTCATAGGTAAGATAATCATATCTACAAATGAATCAAATGAATTCTTCTCTCCAACTTAAGTGATCAATACACACATACTTCTACTGACAACAATTGTCTAGAATCTACCGAACAGATGCAACTATTTAGGAATAGACAAGCATTCTCGTCAAACTAGTGATTTTAAAAGTCTCGAATTCTTGTTCATTAAATTCTAGATCTTAGAAATGGGAAAGTAGTCAATCAACTGAGGTTTTGGCATGTTAGAACTGGATAATTACTCTGAGGTCAATTTCCATATAAGTAAATGTTAATACAAAAATGACCAATGTCGTCCTTTGGATAAACAAAACTGATATAAAGATGTACAATCAAATAATAACAAATATTTCCTTGAGAATCTGAATATCTTCCGTCAAAAAGGACTTTGCTTAGGAAGTGGTCACTATATGGGTGTATTTTGGATCAATATGATTCATAAACACCAACAGCATCAAACCAGTCCACAAGCATCGTATCACCATGAACTGAACATATGCGGCTACGTCCCAATAACAAGGGCATGAAACCGAGGGATGAACATCACAATCCGTATACAACCCAACAAGCCCCAAAAGGCAGGGATTGCAAGGAGAACAGGATTCCCATGGTCCACCAATGTCAAAACAAGGTTCCTGACCAAACATGTAGCCGGCATTTGATATAAGTTGAGCTGCTAACCATATGCAGAACACTTGAAATAGACCCCTCAAAAGGTCTCAAATGGATATGAAATATGGAGAATCCACAAGAAATTCCCACAAAGACATCCCTACCAAAAATCAGAAAATTTGAACCTCGGGAAGGAATGAAAGACTAGACCGACTAGCAAGAGTTAAATCCTCTCTCAAACACGGTGAAAAGTGGTGAAAGTTTAATCCAAGGTGTTCAAAATCAACAAATTTAAGGCCATTTGGACATCATTTACCCCAATTCCAGGGCTGGCGTTTACTATTCACAATGATGGTGGTATCACATAAATGAACGGTGGACCCAGTTGCAAGGCAAATGATCTCGAATCTGAAAGCAGTGGCTATGTTGAATTCCCCAAGTATAAATGCAAAAAATTTCTCTTTTTCTTTTATTGCATAGAGGAAATTCTACTTACAATTACCAATTACTATGCGGAATACAAAATACATTCCTACTACAATCTAGGATCTTAATATTACTGCTTTAAAACAAAAACATAAACTTTATTGATAAACAAAATCGAATTTATAATTTCAATTCTAAAACAAATAGGAATCCTAACATAACTTGGAACCCCAGTGCAAATAGAAATTCGAATTATTGCAGGTTTCTTTATGGGCATCGGGCCCATAACAGTCACTAATGAAAGAAACACTCCTCAATTTAAAAATACGGCAATTTATCAGAAACTTATTAGAGATGAAGTATTTAATATTTTGCCCATTTGGAACTAGTCCAATACAAGACCATGTGTTGTTTTATGGATGTTCTGAAATCAAAAGATATGGGCAAGTGTTAAATTATTGATCTCTTATGGGTAATTTTGATAAATTTCCCTCCAAAAAATTTATATCTGTACGACTACATTCCCACATTAATGTAGTTAGAATACCTCAAAAAATAAAAAGTCTTCAAGGATTCTCTTATAGTTACCTCAAAGTCTAACAAAATTACATAGTATACCTTCTATCGAGATAAAGAGTTGTTTCCCATAAGAAGAGTACCAGAACTAGAGTGATTCAAAATTATGTCATTACATTACTCAAGTCAATATTTCTTCAAGCTGGAAGTACGTCAATATCATGATAAAGTGTGTCTCACATTAAAAAAAAAAACGTTTTGGGTCACCAACTATGGCATACCTGGCGGAATGTTGATGCCGAAGCTGGACATCCTTTCTTTGATCCAGAACCAGTAAGGCATGAAAGAGCTAAGCTCACAACCATCTCTGACTGCGAAGACACATGCCATGAAAAAGAAAAGAAAAATAACTCTCACGAAAAGAAGAAAATTGAAAACATAGCCACTAAGGCGCTGGAAAACAATAAACGAGCATATCCTGCCAACCTCTGATGCTCCTATAGCAAGTCGTTTTGCATAATCATTCGTTGTGTGCTGTTTAGCCGTACCCGTGATAGCATCATGATGCTGCACAATCCCAGAGAGTCTCCTAAGCTATAAGTGCTCACACTAGATGAATTCCTCCCAGCAAAAAATTCAAGTTGTCGTGCTGCCTGTTTTGGACAGCCTGATAATAAGCCACTTCAGAGAGAAGCATCCACTTTTTACAATAAGATAGAGCAATTGTCGAATGGACAATCCAACTCCATGACACTGGGCCCATAAGGCAGAGTTTTACCAGAAAATATCCACTTAGCATACGGACATATCGTTTGAGTGCTGGCCTACTGGTGAAATATCCAGTCCAATAAGCATTTGCTCGGTCTGCATAACTGCATGTAGTCCACCAATAAAGGCAAAAACTGAGAAAGAAAAATGAACTACATAAACCAGCAACAAATAGAAAAGTCTAAGTTACAAAGGTTTTGCTCACGGAAAATAATCATCAGTCTTCAATGGCCATGATTCATTCTCAGCATTTTTAGTATCAGTGTAGATAGAAGGAGTAGAATAGAAGGCATTGACTCTGCCATCCTGAAACATGTAAAACTCATTTACACTTCATTATTCTAACAAACCACAACTTGCATGCAATCCATAAAACTAGCAATTTCAAACTAGAATCATAATTCACACATCCCATGAACACCAGATGCAACTACCACATTTTAAAATGAGTACCTAGTCAAAGAAATCTACCTCCAAAAAATAGTAGAAAAGTTGGGAAAACTAAACCTTGTCAAGCGAGAAAATTCAAATGAAATTGAGGACTAGCAGTATATAAACAAAACGAAAGAAGAAAAAACAAAATCACACTAAGGGTAATATAGAACAAGGCTATACAACATTCCACAACATAATAGCTATAAAGGCCAAAATGCCCCATACAGAATGGCAGCACGATTTTCTAATACTCTTAACAGTCCACTCCCAATTAGACTCAAATAGGAAGAATTCCTATCAAGAATTTGATGTGGCTCATGATCCATCTTAAGTTTAAGTACTGTTGGATTGGCTCAGCATTGACTTGCCATGACGGATCAGACACCTGACAAGGAAAGACCATACCTCTGCTTCTACTCTACTAATCCAGTTTCAAACTGGACAAGGAAGATTTCCTACTCCAATACTCAAGCCGGTACAGACTCGGTCATTTCACTCCCTCAAACACTTGCTTCTTGAAAACACCTATAGACGAGAGTATAAGATTTCCTACTCCAGTACTCAAACCAGTATGGACTCGGTCATTTCACTCCCTCAAACACTTGCTTCTTGAAAACACCTATAGGCGAGAGTATACCGATATCTCCTCATACCTCACCTTTACGCTACTGACTCGGATTGGAAGCTCTTGCTCGAGCTTCCTTCGAGAAAGCCCTTCACTACCACTTCCTCAAACACTGACTGGAGGATGTATGTTTTACCTGACTTACACCTCAAGATAATCGCCTTAACAGACAATTTCGTATGTGGCAGGAAGTTATAAATAACATAACACTCAAAATGTAACTCTCCTGGTTAATACAAATCAATTCTAATGTGTTAATTATTCTCTCACTTGAATGAGCCATTGTCATACTCCTTGTTTATCTTAGACAATGCTATTGTTCATGGACATATTGTCCAATGAGCCACTGGAACAGTAGCATCCTTGAACCCCTCGTATATAAAGGACTTCCCTACAGTAAGTTAACATAATGTCAGTTGCACCCTTCACAACAAGCAAAATGTCCACTAACATGCTCACTGCATCAGCAACATCCGTGTGCCTGCAGCCATGAAGTATCAACCGCATATGCGGACTTAGTAACAAAATCATCAGTAGCTTTTAGGCCAATTTTATCAGACATCTGTCATTAGAAATCCCATTAACAAAAAGGAATGCTGACCTGTTCAATCTCCAAATACCAAACAAATATACATTGATTGTTGGATCTTGTCCTACAATCAAATGGAGTATTCATGTCCTACAAGATCCATCATTTTGAAACAAATTCTGCAGAGGGTTTAAGGTGTAACCTCTTTCTCTTTCTCATTAAGCAGGTTGTCTGCCAATTATCCATCAGTGAGGTTGTTTAATATGTCGCACCTAGACTAGGTGCCCCAAACATGCACCACATGTCTTTCAACGAGGTATAAAACCATGAATAAAGAATGACATTACCTAGTAAATGGCCAAACCACGGTTCAAAAATACTCTTGGGAGTTCCAAATCGACCCCCATCGGGACCCTTTCCGAGCCACATAATGGGTCCCAACCCACATAAGACTAAGAATATTGAAAGAAAAGTTTAAAAAAAAGTCTAGATCCTGACTCGGACAAGTCTATCAAAATCTGCACCTTCCTGTTATAAACTCAACATATCATACCAACTCAGCAATCTATCCTAAAGACTTGGCTGAGTCCAGTGATAGAAATTATTTTCGAACATTGAAATAAATACAGGAAAACAAAACAAGAACTGCCAGATTCGTTGATAGACTTGACTTAGTCCATCAAAGGCTCAACTAAGTCACTTGGAAAGGCCATTTACCCTATTTTTGAACTCTCACTCTAGCTCTCTTCATCAATTTCAAACAATTAAATATGTAAAAACAATACTTGAGAAACCAAAAAAACTCAGGTACATCAATCAAAAATGCCTTATTTACATCCAATTGTGCCTAAATCACAATTACATGGACCTTTTTGTACCTTTTTGTCATTTTGTTTATCGTTCTTTTCGTTTGTGTTTTACATTTTTCCAAAAAAAATTATCTCTACATTTTTCCCATATTTTTTTTTGAAACTTTTCGATGTTGTTGGGTTCCTTTTGCCATGATTCATAAAGTCCTTACCTCGATACATATCAATGCACTACTCTGCCTTGGCCAGTCCAAGTTTGAAAACATAAGCACAAATACAATGTGTACACAGCGTACATGTCTCATCAAAAATTTACTAATAGGAAAATGTCCAACTGCTAAGGTCGTAAAATGGTACCTTTAGAAACCCACATGTGTGGGTGTGGAAGTCAGAAATATTGTAGCAACGTCCGCCAGGATTTTCATACAAAACCATAACTGAGGCGATGGCATTGCGGGATGAGTGACCAGGTGGACAACTATAATTAGCTAGGAATGAGGTCTCACCTCATTCCATGCCAACCAAAAAATATTGAAGCTTATGTTTGACAGCAATGTGGCTATCAAAACTATGCCTTTGGGGGTTCTATTTAAAAGATATTTAGACAAGTTGCATTAAATAAAGATTGATCTCAGAATGCAACCTAGAATCGCCATAGGCAAAGATGTATTTACCATGTGAATCTAAGTACAAAAAATGGCCTCACAGTAATAAAATTAACCCCAATGTGCAATTTTCCATTCTTACCATATTTCAGATGACATGGTCATCAATTCATTTAGGAAAAAAAATACCAAATGGGAGAGAGATTTTCGGGAAACCAAATGAAGGAAGCTGAATATTGTTTATGTGAAAGATACCTTGTTCACATAGTGGATGAATTTGTCCATTTGCTTGAACCAAGACTCAGCATATTGGTATTGGAAGTCATCACCCATTGTCCACATGATATGGTTTGTACGTGTCACATTTACCTATTTACAAAAAGGAAAATAGAGGAAATTTGAGGCTGAGAGAGAGAGAGAGATAATTGGTAACAACAGCCCAATCACTGGATGTTTCGACTTACTTGAGTTGTGGCAGCATCAATAAAATCATTAACACGTTGTGCTATATTGTTATCATATAAGAGAGGATCATCCTGGAAGTTCTCAAATCTAATGAATCAGTTCAAGCATAATCACTAAAATTTTGTCGATGTAATAACCATTAGCTGTCACCTGTATAGGAGCAGAATCATCATTGACTTCAAAGTGGAAACCAGTTGGAGGACCATAGTGAATGGGAAAGGCTCCCGTGAAAATCTACAAAGAGATGAAATAGAAAATTTTAGTTGCAAATGGTATACCACATAGAAGATCACAAATCAAAGTCCAGACTAAGTGAAGAAGCTTCTAACTTGAGATGATGATCCAAAAGTCTTTGACCCTCTCCATATAACTTCTAGAGACTTCTCGTCTTTACGCTTTTCTCTATCCTGGTAATCGATCCTTGCAAAATATAGAGAGTCGAAACCAAGCTGCAGGAAAACATCCATTAACATTTAGAAGATAATCAATGGACCCTACAAAGCAATAGTTGTCATTTAATAATTCTCAATTCTCAAATAAACCAATTTTTATATGTATTGCACTCAGTAGTTTACTACATTTTTGGAACAAAAGAATTTATTACAGTTTCAGTTCAAGAGGGAAATCGTGCTTGATATATTCCCTTGGGGTATATAGAAAAATTTTGATGAATAGCACCTTCTCATAACTCATGTCGATGGTGATGAAATCCAAAATCCTTTTCTTGAACATATATGCTCCCTTCTCTCACCCTCTTCCTCCTCCCTCTCTCATTCTACATATGCTATCAAAGCTGGAGTCGTTTATTGAAAGAGAATTTAAGTATTGGCATTTTCAAATTTATTTTCTAGAAGCATCTCGATCCTATCAAAAACACTAAATCCATCAATAAATTAAACATGGGACATCAGCATTTAGTAATAAGGAGAACCATGTGATGGATGTTCCATGAGCACAATGGAAGACATACACTTCAGGTCGATCTCTAGAAGCAGATGATGAGGAAGAAGGCTCACTATACAAGGAATTATTTGACTTCCATTTTATGTTAATATTAGGGGCTATTTGGATGGACCACTGAATGGGATTTGGGCTATAATCTTCCTACACTTGTGCTGGATTACAGCAACTACTTGTTTTGTGTCTGTCGCTTTTGGAACCCGGTTCTGTAGAAAACGCCAACAAATATTAGCTGTTTGGTGGAGGGAGAAAAACTACTAGTCCTTTATTCTACACCAGTAGGACAATGAATATCCCTAGGAACACGGTTCAAATTTGCCTTATGATCTCCAACATTCTTGAACAGAAAAGATTACCGCAAAGCATATCTTTCCTAGCATCAAGATGGCAAAGTTGTTGATTGCAGCAGACAGAGAAACAAATTCATCTTTTAAGGGGTAAATATATGTTCATAGCCTGACCTCTGCCCCAAACAAGTATGCTTGCACTGCTGAGTGCCCGAAAGGATCAATTTGCCATCCAACACGTGGGACCTTGTTAAATTGCTTCTTTATCAAACGATGACCCAGAGTTGTCTGGTCAATCATGTCAATGTAATGACATGTTGCTTCATCGTGCATACACCAACCACCATTTCTGAGACACAAGATGAAAATGCATGCTAAAGAGGACCAGATAAAACCATATAGGTTGAAGACTCATTTAGCAGCTCGAAGTACACAGGGAACTACATACATAAACTCCAATTGGCCAGAATCCACCAATTTCTTCACTTGTTCTTGCACTGCTGCACATTGTTCAACCCACCATCTCTGAAAGAATGCCTTTCAGCAGCAAAAAAAGAAGGGGTTAGAAAACAGGGACCAAACAATCAGACTTAGATTGGCCTTATAAATTCAAATCCAGAACAAAATAGCCCAATAGGTTTAAACCCAAAATCAAGCCTAACTAAACTAATCAAAACCTGTCAACATAATTTCAAAACAAAAGTCTCAAAAATTCAGCACATGCTTAAAGCGTTGAAACAGGGGTTAAAAGCAACTGGAATATTAATGGTTTAAAGATTCATGGGATTGAGTTAAAACAACAATCTGAAAATGCAGCAAAGAAAAAAACGCAGGAACTTTATGTCCATTGATAAGCATAGCTAGCAGACATGATCAACAACATCCCAGACATTTAATACATTGTTTTTACAAGTACATGGTAAAAGGCCTCCAAACCTGTGTCCTTGGTTCAAGAGGGTAAAGATTGCCATGATTATCAGAACAGGGAAAAAGAAACAGCCTGCTAAACTATATCAGTTTAAATCAAGTAGTACATGAAGCCAAGATATTATGTCCATCACATAGATTTGAATAACAATTCCACCATAAGATTCTCAAAAGCCAAAATACAGAAACTAGTGGAAGATAAATCCAAAAGGAAGCACTGGTAATCACTTGTTTCAGAAAGAATCAACACGGAAAGGTGAACTGTAAGATTCTCAAAAGGTACTACACTTGAGAAATAAAAAAATTGGGACACGTAAATACTTGGGAAACACATCTATATTTTATTAATGAATTGGTTTCTTAATAGAAACCATGTGAACATAAGATCCAAAGGGGAGCACTTGTGAGCACAGTTTTCAAACAATATAATCAGCAGGAGAACGTAAAGATAGTCATCGTAGATTCAGGATTCATGGAAAGTTTTAGCAAAGTTTTACTTTGCTGCCAACCTAACAACTCACCTCTACCCGGGCTTGGGACGGGTTAAGGGAAAGTTTTACTCAGGAGAAGGTAAAGATAATGAGATGCTCAAATAGTATTGTGCTTCAGAAACAATGAAAGAGGTATACAAATACTTGAGAAACAGAATGATACAAACTCAGCCAAGTAGTTTCCTGTTAAAAGCCAGGCAAAGATAAAATCCAAAAGAAAGAACAGACAACCACGGGGCTCAGAAAGAAGAAGAACCAACAGGGAAAGGTAAATTGTAAGATGCTCAAGAAAAAATACATATTTGAGAAAGAGAAATGACAAAAACTCACTGTAGTAGTTCATTGATAAACAGCAGATGGCGATAATATAGAAAAGTAAGCACCGGCAGGCATGGGTTTCAGGGAAAAAAAGAAGAAGAAGAGGAAGAAATCACAGGGAAAGTTAAAATATAAGATTCTAAAAAGATATAATATTTGAGAATCAAAATGACATAAACTCATCGAACTAAATCCCTAGTACAACCCAAATGAAGATGAGATCCAAAAGGGAGCACCAGTAAGCATAGTATTCAGAAAGAAGAGAAATCTATAGGGAGAAGTACAATTTCAGCATAGTGAAGGTAATGCATCTGTAAAAACATATAGTTTCAATTGCTTCACATCATACACAAAAAAATTACTAACTTAAGTCATTGACTGCTTTAAAATAAACAAGGTATGATTGGGTATTTAATAGTTCAGTGCTCAGCCTTAATGCATGCAGCTCCATTGCTTCTTAGCTCGTTACTGCTATATCTACAATAATAACAGAACCAAGTTCTAAAGCAAAAACAGTGATATTTTTTCTCATATACAGTAAGTCCCCTGAGTGATATTATATCGCATAAATTCACATTTCAAGGTTGTTTTTTTTCTGCAATTATCAAGACATGGAGAGTACAAACAAAAAGGATTGAATTTCACATTTCAAGTTTACAATCTCCAATTTTTACTGAAGAAAAGCAACTGATAACCATAATTGAGATAAAAAATTTCTTCATCGCAAATTACTTGTTCGGCAAAGACAAACTTCCTATTGGGATCATTAACCAACGAAACAATGACGGAATCGAGCACATTCCTCACACAAGCACCCTGCACAAAGATAAATAAATAAAAACAATTTTTTGCATCAATCATATGATTGAATCAAAAAGTGGGGTGATAAAGAAACCAAGAAAGAGTGACCTGAATACTGTTATTTGAACCAACATAGTATTGATCAATGGTCTTGAGCCAACCAACGTCATCATGTGAATGTGCAACCAAATGCACGTTGAGCTTGCCTTTTACAGGGCCAGCACTCGTGTTGTATGTAATGTACGCCCCATGACCACAATCCAGTAAAGCAACCAATAACACAACAAGAAGCAACCTCCGCACCACCACCATTTTCAGATGACCACAGGGTGAGAGTGGGTCTCTCTCTCTCTCTCTCTCTCTACT